AAAAAAAAATAAATGAAATGAAATAACATTAGTATAATTGAAATAAGTTAGTGTGATTAAGTAAGATGATAATTTATGGTTTATTTGTGTTTTGTTGACTTTTATTTATTGGTAAAGTAGGTTGAGATTGTTTAAGAGTGTTTGATTGAAAAGATTGATAAATTGGTGGATGATTTTGGGTATTTTTTGGGACTTTTGATGAGTATAGATTTAATCTCAATTGAGATTTTAATTTTTTGGTTATTTCAGGATATCCAATTGGAGGAAGATCATTTTCAATCTGTTTTTTTGATCTTCTTCTTTTAATTCCATCACCACGAAGTTGAGAAGCAGCTTCAAGCATTAAAGACTTAGATGGTTTTGTAGTAACTTTTAAAAATTTAAGAATAGCATCATAACGACCACGACATTGACAATCAACTCTTCCAGGAATTTGAGAAGCAATTTTTGACCATTTTGGTTTTCCACTTCGTTCAACTTTAATTTTAGAAGGTTTACCTTTTTCCATAGCTTCAGGAGTATTAGGAAGAATAATAGAATAGATATAATTTGGGTCATATAATTTTTCAATTAATATTAAATCTTCTTCTTCAGTCCAAGATTTTCTTTTTTTAACACCAGAAGCAGCAGAATTACTAACAAAATCCCTAATTTGAGCATCAGTTCTATTAGGAATAAAAGTTGATATTTTTTTCCATTGATTAGGATATAATTTTTGACAAATGGTAACTTTAACCTTTTCAATTTGACTCCATTTTCCACATGTTTTCCTGATAAGTACTTTGTCATATCTATTCATAACTTGTTGACAAGTTCTTCCTTCAATTTCTGTTTCAACAGATTTCCAATCTCCTTTACCATATTTTTTTACAGCTTCTAATATTTTTTCATCTTCTTCTTTGCTAAATGGTCCATATTTCATATTTTCTTTCATTCTAATTTCTTGAATCTTTTTGAGAAGAAAGACATAACTCATACCATGATCTTCTGCAAATTCCATCATTTCATTTTTTAATGTAATAAATGATTCTTTATTACAAGTGATAGTAGGATTATTTAACTTTTTTGCAAATATTTTTATTTGAGAAATGATATTAGGAATTTTTTCAAGAGATGAATAAAGTTGTGATTTAATGATATAATCATATTGTAATTTACAATCTAAAGGATTATGATTACCTATTTCTTCACAAATGATTTTCCAGAAATTGTCTGAAATATCAATGTTGTTATTTACTCTAAATTCGTTTTTGAACATTTCATAATAAATGACAATTGCATCACAAATAGCTCTTAAATATTTTAGGAATTCTTCTTGAGTAAATAATCTTTTATATTGAAGAGCCAAAAAAATATTTCTTCTACCTTCTAATTCAACTTGTGTTTTCTTTTGTTGTAAATATAATTCAGTTTTTTCATTATATTGAACAGGATATATTCTATTAAATTTATCAATTATTTTTTGTAATTCATCAGATGGTTTTGATCTCATTTCTTCTAAAATTGAAGTAAGATTATTATCATTCATTTCAGGATGATTATTTTCATTTCTTTTTAATGAAATAGTAAGTGTTAATTTTGAATGTTTTGGTATTTCTTCAATTGATTCTGGTTCTTTTTTTATTTCTTTTGAAAAAGAATCTATAGGTAATTCAACTGGAGGAGGAATATTTTGATATTTATGAAATTGTTTAGAATTTTGTTTATTTAATACATCTAATTGTTCTAAATTTTGTTTTGCTTTTTCTGCTTCTTCAAGTATTTTTATTTTTTGAAGTTGAGCTATTCTTCGTTTTTCTTCAAGAATACGTAATTCAAATTCTTTTATTAATCCATTACTTTCTCTTTCTTGAATCATTTGATTCCATTTTTGATTTAAAATCATTACTTTAATTTTATTTACAATATTTAACAATGTTATTCGATCTTCTTTTTTCCATTGAAATGATATTATTTTATTTGGAGTTGAAGATGCTTTTTCAAAAAATAATGGACTATTTCCATCAATGTCTGTAAAATATTGTTCTCTGATTTTGTATAATTGTCTTGGTGCATTCATAGCTTCAATAACTCTATCAATTCTTGTTTGACATTCTTTCATTGCAGAATTTACACTACAATTACATTCTTCAAGAATGGTATAATATCCATTAAGAATATTCGTGAATGTAATAAAATCAGCATCAAGTTCCATAATATGTTGTTGACTTATAAAAAGGAATTTTAGAGATTATGGAATATATTATCTATTTTTGTATCACTAAGAAAATTAAATTTTGTTTTTCTAACCCTTTTTTTT